CATTAGTGCCTGTAGTCACCGTGCTGAGGTCTCATCTTGAGGCTGGTGCCACAAATGTGATGTTTATGGGTCACGGTTGCTGCTGATACTCGGTGCCTTTGGGAACTTGTTCTGATTTTTTTCCAGGATCTGAGGGATCTTGCCGAGACACAGAGAGACTCTGGGATCTGCACTTAAGGCAAGAGGGTGATGCACTCCCCTCCCACTTTCTTCTGTCCGAGCTGTCACTCCGGAATAGCAATGGGGAAACTAAACCGGAGAGCTTTTCACAGGCTGGTTGGCTGTGAGACAGATCTCAAGATTTTACTGTAGTCCTTAAGACATTTGAAGTTCATATAGACTGAAGGGCTTAAGCAAGATTTGTGGCTTTAATGAGAAAAAGTACCACAAATCAAAATATTTTGCATCCAAGCGATGTAAAAGAAATTTTACAAACATGATTGAAATATAATACAAAGACTTAAAACACTAGAAGGTCTAAAAGCTAATTTCTTCTCTTACCCCCCCCCCCTTTTTTTTTTTTTTTTTTATTTTGAAGCTAACCCTGGGTTTGAGGGGTTTTTTGGTTAAAGTCACTTTGAGGTTTGTGGGCTATAATGTACTGCATGGACACCAGACATGGACAAAATCAGCAAGTTGGGGAAGAGCATTTGAAAAGCGATTCTTCAAAACAGTCAATTTACCAGTCCAAGGAAAAAAACCTACTTTTTGGATTTGAGAAGCATAGCAGGCAGATCAAAGGCCCTCCCAAAGACAACATAACTTACTAAGTTTTCCTGAAGAACCACAACCAGTTTTGTCACTCCCATGTCTGTCTGGGAATCACGGCATCTATTAATGTTGCTGATGTATCGTATACCCAGCTTCCATTTTAGAAAAAAACCACTGCCACCGCATTTGGGTGCACAGAGCAATTTCATAGCTGAAGGCTGAAGCCCAGCCACCCCATCTACAGTCTTTAGTATTGTAACTGGTAACCACACCAGGTTTTCTCTCAGACCATTTCTGAACATTCGTTGTTCACACTCAGACATACGATTATCTTAACAGGCAGTTTACTTCACAAAGTTAGATTTTAAGCCTTCCTAGGAAATACCTATGGCTACATTGTGCTTTCTGTTATATTTGCGCAAATCTGTAGTAATAGGCTGAAAATTATCTTGGCCCTAAAGATGCAATTAACTAAATGTGCCACTTTATTTAATGACAATAACTTTATATAAATAAAACAATGCCAACATAATACTCCTTATTCCCAATCCACATCCAACCAGTCTTTATTCCGCAGATTAATTTCCAACAAACTCCTGTTGCAACATTTCTTTTGAACTCTGCACCCTGAATATCCTTCGTTTCAGACTGCACAGACCTTATTCTAGCAGCTTTGTTCAATACAAGATGCAGATGCATCATGTGTCTTTTTGAAATGACAGGAAACATGAACAACTACTCTAACTGCTGAGCACTTAGGTCTTCTCTTTACCTGAATGGGAACACCTTCAATTAAAAAAACACCTTGTTTTTCTTTCAGGAAAACGGTTCATTTTCTGCTCTTCTATTATCATCTGTTCAGTTATTTCCCTTTAATTTCCCTTTGCACCTGGAATTAATTTTCATCAGCCCTGCCTTTACTATTTGAATTGC